ATTAGACACATTTACGTTTCTATAATATTATTATTAAGTTAAATACAGAGTTTTAGAAAGTACAACTTTATAAAAGTAAAACGGAAAAAAAATTGTCTTCACCGTATACCCGTTTTCATGATAACATTGAATGCGATACTATATGCAGCGACGTGTTGCAATGAAAGCGATGAGATTGATCGCTTTTTACGCCAATAATTTCCTTTTTTGGAGTTGGATCGTTTCGAAAATCAATAGACGTCATCGTGTGAAACTATCGATTTTTCTGATATTTGCATTTTCCTTCATAAAGGCTTTTTTTCAATTATATTTGATACGGTAAATTGATCACAGAAATTTATACATCTTTAAATAGAAATGTTTACAGTCGAAATTCTGACGTTAATCATTTTATATATACTGTATTTCCAATATATATAATTCAGTATTTTTACACAATAATCATGAGTGATGATACGAGAAGAGAAAGAGTTGAAGAATATATGAAGATAGATGAGATAAAATTATATTTTAAAATTGAAATAACAATAAAAGAAAATCTAATTCTACATTTATATTTTCTTTCGAATTTATCTTTAAGGTAGACAGTTATTAAATTTAATTTATGAGCCTCATAAACTATTAACAAAGAGCTAATCAGTTGTATAATAAAATTCAATGATTTCATTGATTATAAGTGGTTCTTTGTATAATATAAGACGAACGATTGGAAAAAATAGTGATCTTAACAACGATTGGTTGAAAAAGTACCGAATTAGACACATTTACGTTTCTTTCTCCAATTAATTATCATTATCTGCTCCAACAATGCGAGTAATTGATTAATTTTTATCAACGTCCATCATAATTGTTACAACATATTTCACAACGGACCACCTATGTTTATAACGTTGCCTACGCTCAATCTTATGTTAAAAACACGCGCTTGTTAAGGATTTCTTTAGTTTATTCTTTCCAAAAATTACTTTAAAAAGGAACCATAGGCATTCATTCACAAAAGGAGTTCTCATAGAGCTAGATAAACATTCTGGAGCTCTTCTTTTCCAGAAAAAAAAGACATATAATAAGTTTATTATCTTGTCAGTTTATATATTGTTTCTACCGGCGTTTTAGTCGTGTTTAATGTTACTTAATACAAAAATATCCTTTCTGATACTGAATACTAAAAAATCGATAAATGTCATGACGTAAAAATAAACTTTTTACATTAAAACCTGTCTTGTTGTATTGTTAAGCAATACACATGCCCGTACACGTATTAAACCTATATACACATGGAAGTATGTACCCAAACAATAATTAAATAATTAGCGTACATGACATTAAATTAAATAATAATTCCTTTTACTCGAAACAAGTGAAAAAGGTTTAGGTTTGAATTTCAAGCACAGAGTCAAAGTCATTCAATATTAATTAGCGGAATAACAAGTAACAAATTGCTATGTGTTTACAGTTTTATTTTTATTTGCAAAATATAATTATTGATCAATCTGTGTTTTTAGAAATAATTGTAAATTAAATCAATTTAACTTTAAGTAACAATTGCTTATTTTATATTTGCTCAAATATTGAAGTAAATATGTGAGAAATTCAGCATCTACTAAGACAAAAACTGTTATGATGCATGATAATTGAATGTCACTTTACTCAATAACTATAGGAATGATTAAACTCTAGTTTAATCATTCCTATAGTTAATAATAATAATTTTTTTTATTTAAATGACCAAACTGTTAAGTTATATCATCCTATAGTTTAATCATCCTATAGTTAATCATGATTAAACTCTAGTTTAATCATTCCTATAGTTAATAATAATAATTTTTTTTATTTAAATGACCAAACTGTTAAGTTTAAAAAACCAAAATTATTCTTTATTCGACAATGTTTCTTGTCATTCTATGGCCAACCTTGGCTCACACCAAATAAATTTTTATTCTCCATCATTTATTTTTATTCATTGCAAGCTGAGAATGGTCATAAAATAGTCAAGATTATTATTTAATAAAAAGAAATTTTGGTTTCCCGAAAGTAGCAATCTGAACTTTTAAATCATGCAAAGTTTCATATTTTTCTTTTTCTAATGTTTACATAAAATATTTTTTGATTTCACATTCAGAGAAATTACGAGATTTAAATTCAAAATGATCATATACAATTTTAACAATTTAAACATGGAAAAAGTTCATTAATTCTTTCTCAAAAGGTCCAATTTTGCTGCAAACTACAAAATACATTGACACTCCGTTATTGGTATTAAAACTCAACTGTCTGTAATATTAAAAAATATTCTTACCTTGTATGGCTCAGAGAAATTTTCAAAATCATTCAGCCAGGAATGTTCTTCGGGCTCTTCCCTTAAAAAGAAAATTATAAAATTATTCTTTGATGATGTGATATTTAAAATAATTTTATTGTTTCATGTAATTTTTACTGGGAATATAAGGAGAAAGTTTGCCCATTTCACTAAAGTGTTTTTCAAAGTATTTAAATGATATATTAATATATCATGTCTAATAAGTTCAATTTACTGAACTGTTATAATTTTAAATTGTCTGTAATATAAAAAATGGTTAGCTGTTGAAGAGAAACAACAAATCATGATTTGAACAATAAAAATTAATATCCTTTGCAGTAAATTATTATATTATAGTGAATATTTTTTAGGTTGCAATTTTAAAAAATTGTAGACCTATAAATTCTCACTGCTGTCTGTCTGTCTTTCCTTAATCTTGAGAAAGGAATTAGATGGATGAAATTCGAGACCAGATATGGAAACCTTGAGGTCAGGAGGCCCAAATTAACTATATACAAATGTCTAATACAAACAAGAAGTCGTGTTATTTCAATTCAAAAATTTCCCCCAAAAGGTGTTACTGATAGATAGATGATTGGAACGACTCTATTGTTGAAGGAAAAGTATGATTTACTGTACAGGGCCAAGAAGATAGTGCAAAAAATCGAAAAAATAAATTTTTTTGCAATTTTTGACAATGTCACAATAAGTTTACTTGTTATATTTAAAGTAATTCTAATTAGAATTTTATTAATTTAAATTGATTCAATAAGTGCATAATATAGGAGAAACTTTTATCATATAAGTGTTAAATTACAAATAAATGTCGCTAGACCGACAAGCACTTTCGACGATAATTATTTTTGTCTTCATCAGGTCGTTAAAAACGGTTAAATTCCTTTTTTTTTTTTTTTAATACAAATAAGTACTCGTTTCAAGTGTATTAACGTTTTGGAATGGAAACAACAGTAGAACGTAAGAAAATTTTTTTAAAATAAGTGCTTGTCAGTCTAGCGACATTTATTTGTAATTTAACGCCTATATGATAAAAGTTTCTCCTATTAAACGGTCGGCGTGCTGTCCACTTCTCTATTATAAGTGCATAATAAAAGCACCAAACTAATAAGCAATAGAAAGTTTATGCAAACTTGTAGTTTACTGTTTAAAATTAAGGTTACATTGGCATATGGAACATCATCAATGTCTACATAATTCCCAATATGGTTTCAGACACCAAAAATCTGCTTCTGATGCTATTTACTTTGTAAATAACACAATAATAGATCTTTTGAATAATGACAATAGATTTGTACTCGGGATAAGCTTAGACATAAGTAAAGCTTTTGATAGTACATGGTGGCCGCTAATACTGTTACAACTTAGTAGGAAAAAGTGTCCCGGGAATTTATATAAAATTCTACATAATTACTTATCTGAAAGAACAGCAATTATACAACAAGGACATAATACTGTTTCTCGAGACGTTGAAAGAGGTTGTCCCCAGGGTTCTGTCCTTGGTCCTTTGCTCTGGACAATTATGTTTGACTTGTTCCTCGAACAGAACTTTGGGCAAAACATGATGGTTGCTTATGCTGATGACGTCATAGTATTAATTGCAGGTAATACCAGAGCAGAACTAGAGAGAAAAGGAACTACTGTCTTGGAAAAAATATATAAATGGGGAGAAAATCATAAACTAAGATTTAATACAAATAAAACAAACGGCACAATTTTCAACCTACCTAGATGTCCCAACCTCTTTCTTAGGGTTCCCACAATTAAAATGGGAGGAAAGTCAATACNCTTGTTACATTGAAATTAATTTTAATTATATCAAAATCTATAATTAATTTTAATTAAAAATACGTAATGATTAATTCTAAATTTTTAATAGAATAATTTTTATAATTGTGTAAAGATTTTTTGTTGATTTTTTATGTAAAAATATCGATAAAAAATCATTAAATTTTATGATTTCTTTAAAATATTCAAATTATTTTTGATTGATTTTAATCAATTTAAGTTGAAATTAAATTTCAAAAAATTCTTTTAAAGAATTTTATTGATTATCGATATAAATCCATTTTATTGAACAATTCTATTCATGTTTTTGGAAGGTTTTCAATGATTTTAGAAAATTCATCTCTCACTCTCTTTTCTTCCTCCGTATCTTGAAATGTATTTTTTATTGTGAAATTTTATTCCTTTTCCTTTTAACTCCATTAACTTAATTTTTTTCTTTATCCATTTCTTTATTTAAAAAAAAATTTATCTTCCTCTATTGAAAATTACATAGAGAACGTATTCAAGAGCAAAATTGTTATTGAAATTTTCTTTTTGAAACTTCCTGAAACACCATTTAGTTTACTTTATAATAATGTTTCTATGTTCGTGTATGTACATATACAAAAAGTTCCAGGATTTAATATGCATTTCTATGTTTTATAAGCATATAAAAGGCCTTTTCGTCCATGCTTTGCCAATGTGCTTACAGACACATACAAGCTTACAAAATACAGACAAGTATGTGCTGTATTTTAATTTATGCCCGAAATATATTGAGCCGGATCATCTATGTTTATGTCCTTGTCTATGCTTATAAAATCGCATTTAGGAAGGATTTTTCTAGTCCATATACAGATTAAACTTTCTACCCTAAGTATGTCTGTATGTCTATACTTACTCTGTTTTCTGTATCCCGATATTATCAATTATCTTTACAAAAGTAAAACGCAAATTAATACAAAAATTAGTAAGAAATATAAACATTTCTATAAAATTTAAACATAAATTATTATGATTAAAAATATTAATATAGGTGGTTCTCTGCGTACTACAAGAGTCTAACTCACTATATCGTATATAAGTTATACAGTGGACTGTTTGATACAGTAATTACCCGATATAGTGAACGTAAACATCATTTTTATTCTTTTTCTTCCTTCAAGCTATCTCATAAAATAAATAAAAAAAATTCCTACAAATTATTCCTTTTGATGCCTTTAAGAGGAAATAAATGCTTAAGTAATAATCTATAAAACATAAATTAAAACACCGAACTTTATCCATTAAAATCGACGAATTTAGTTGAAAGAATTTCCTCTTTTGCAGACATTCTACATAATTGTAGTGACTGCTAGTGCCTTTCATGTTAATCTTGCCCTTGGAACGCCTTGTAAGTATAGAAATATATAATTTATATCTGTTTAATTCATGATGTTAACTGTTAAACCTCGATATAGCGCTATCCTCGCAAAGTTCCAATTCGTACTCCTAAACGAACAAAGTATTATAGACCCCCCGAATTATTAAATGTATGAATTTTTTTTATTGTTATCGCCTCCTCCTTCCTATTATTAGAAGTAATTCAGTTTAGACCCACAATCGATTTCAGGGGGTTAATTAACAAAGCGCTAAATCGAAGTTTAATTGTAATAGTAAAATGGTTCATACCTAAGATTATTGTAGTTCTCCTTTGTTAATCTAGAAAAGGGGGGTGACCCTGATAAAGTATATACGGTCCTATCGGGACCGGAAGTCACGTGTTTTTTTAAATTAAAAAGACGATTAAAAATTGCAGCCCAGTATNCTTAATTTTTTTCTTTATCCATTTCTTTATTTAAAAAAAAATTTATCTTCCTCTATTGAAAATTACATAGAGAACGTATTCAAGAGCAAAATTGTTATTGAAATTTTCTTTTTGAAACTTCCTGAAACACCATTTAGTTTACTTTATAATAATGTTTCTATGTTCGTGTATGTACATATACAAAAAGTTCCAGGATTTAATATGCATTTCTATGTTTTATAAGCATATAAAAGGCCTTTTCGTCCATGCTTTGCCAATGTGCTTACAGACACATACAAGCTTACAAAATACAGACAAGTATGTGCTGTATTTTAATTTATGCCCGAAATATATTGAGCCGGATCATCTATGTTTATGTCCTTGTCTATGCTTATAAAATCGCATTTAGGAAGGATTTTTCTAGTCCATATACAGATTAAACTTTCTACCCTAAGTATGTCTGTATGTCTATACTTACTCTGTTTTCTGTATCCCGATATTATCAATTATCTTTACAAAAGTAAAACGCAAATTAATACAAAAATTAGTAAGAAATATAAACATTTCTATAAAATTTAAACATAAATTATTATGATTAAAAATATTAATATAGGTGGTTCTCTGCGTACTATAAGATGAACGATTGGAAAAATAGTAATATTAACGACGATTGATTGAGAAAATACTGAATTAGACACATATAACTTTCATCCACCAATCAACTATCGTTATCTGAAGAGTAATTGATCAATTTTTATCAATATCCTTTATAATTGTTACAACATATTTCGCAACGGACCACCTATGTTTTTAACGTTGTCTACGCTTCATTTTATCGTAGAATCGCATACTTTTGAAGAATTTTTTTAGTTTTTTTCTTACCAAAAATTACTTTAGAAAGAAAAATCAAGAGAAAAGTAAACTCAACGGAAATTTTTATTAACTATTAAAGTCAAAATTGAAACAGTAAACATGTAGCTAGGATGATGCATTAGGAATTATTATAGGAAACTTTAATCGATGACCAGCACAGTTTATTATTGTTATTTTTATTTATAACTTAATTCACTATTTAATATTAACTTTATCATTCTCTTATCCAAACTTTGTTCAATATTTTCTAAACTAAAATATTAAAATAACCTTCCACACTTAGGTATATTGCATTTTGTGCGTTGTCTCTCAATTCCAAGATTATTTGGCTGGAAGAGAAAACGAAGTGGGACGTGTGAATGACGAAGTGAGTTAACTCAGCTATGAATTTATATCCTCTCTTATAATAAATCACAACAATTGTAGCCGGAAAGAAAGAAAAATTTCAATAATTTTATATTTATGAAAACATTAGTAAGAACGAATATGAATTCCTGAAGTTCGCACAAGTTATTTGTATAATGTCTTAAAGTATAAAACTAGATTTAATGTGAATAGTTTTAAGATAAATTATCTTCTATTTTTAGTAGTAACTAACAATTCTTACTTTAAGTTTTAATAGTTGAAAATTAGTTTTCTTCTCTTTTAAGGATGGTTTATTAAATCGAATGGCTTTGATGATATAGAATTAAGCTTGCTAATGATAAATTTCACCATATAAGTAGTGTTACGTCACAATCTTTATGTATATTTTTCTATTTTAGGACACTTATAATGAATTAGCAGAAGGTATCGTAAGAATCAACGGGCCGCTTCCATCGATTAGCACCACTGAAACTCTATCACTTAGATGCACCATTTCTCCATCTTTCTTCCAACCTATTTACAATTCCCCACATTTAGATGTTGAAGAAAATATAAATAAATATTCTGAATATAGAGAAAAATCTAAATCAGCGTTAATCATAGATGATAAAAGTGTTAAATTAAATTCTACAGTCTTCAACACTTAAAATTACCTTTTATGACAATGCCTTAATTGTAATTAATAAAATAAATTAAAAATTATATAGTAAATTAAAAGAATTTCACTAGATTTTAGAGCAGATAATATTATTTAATTAATTATTGTAACGTTTCGATTTAAAACAGAAGCATTAAGATACTGAAGAATGGATATTTTTTCAATATTTAGATTAAGATATTCATTAAATTAATGAAGATCGAAAGTAATTACAATTAAGAATTTAAAAAAAGAAATTTTACGGATGAAATTTTGAAATTTTCATATTTTTTAAATGCTACAACAATTTGATAATTGATACTATTCAAGTGTAATTACGCGAAGATGAAATTTGGAGTGTTTGAATTTAGTGTTTAATTTTTAAATTAATTAAATGGTTTTAAAAAAAACTTATAAACGAAATTTTTAACAATTTAAAATAATAAATAATTTATAAATAAAATATTTATTTTAAATTTTTCATTGTTTTTTTTAAAGGAATGGTTTTTCTTTACACTCGAAAAAATTTGTGAAAGAATTATGTAGGTGTGTGTGTGATTTTTGAAATAAAAAAAAAAGAACTTTTTAACAAAAAAAAAGCAAGAAAGAAAAGTGCTGATTTTTATATTTTTTAAATCTTTTATATTGATCCATCACAGAAAACATAAAATTATCTAAAATTGGTGTTATATCGATTTACCGATCACGCTGATCAGTTTTCTCTCCTCTAATCTCATAAAGTAGATGTTTACTTTGTTCTTAAGACAATAAGCATATATTTACTCTAATTTTCTAAATTAATTCTAATTAAATAAGCTATTTTTAATACACAAAAACAATTTTTTATTATATTAAAAAATATTTAAAAAAAAACTCTGAAGATCCTCACGTGTAAGAGATGATCTTATGGTGTGTAAATGTTAAATTTTTTGTTAATTTAGTTTATATACACGCTAAAAAAGTTTTCTTTCTTATTATAAATATAGAAAGTGTGAAGAAAGAACGAAAATTAAACAAAAATAAATCACTTCTTTAATGCAAAAATTCGATTTTGTTATGTAAATAAATTAAAAATTCACATTGGAAATTAGAATATTATATTTTTATAATAAAATCTATATATTTTATCACTAATATTTCGTAAAAAATTCTAGTTTTATACGTTCTGTAATATAGAAAAAGCGTTAGAAAGACGATCACTACAGTGAATTTTTTTTATTTCTTTCCATCCAACATACAAACTTTCTAGACAATATATTTTATATGGAAAATAGTTTGAGTTCAACAGTTTTGTAATGATAACACGTATAGTTTCAAGATAAAAAATAAAAGCACACGTATATATATATATATATAAACTATGTATTAAAAAATTCGTATTGCATGAAGATGAAATCAATATGATGTAAACATTGAAGGATTGAGTTATGAAACATATAGACTATACTCAAGTAAAATGATTATTATTTATTCTAGAATTATTGATTTTAGAAGATTTTATTTATCAGAAACTTTTTACATATTCTCGAAAATATATTATACATTTTTTATGAATTTAGCTCTTCATTGCTCTCTTCAACGAGGAGTTTTATTGTTACTGCTTAATATTTACTAAAAAAAATTGTATATATTGATAAACAAACAATATTTAGAATATGTGTGACATGTTATTTATAGAAAAATATAAAGATCTAGACAAAGGAAATGTGTTGAACCAGACAGAAAGAGGGCATTTTTTTTCTGTCTGGACGTATTTGTTTCCTTCTTGTTTTTTTTTTTTCTCAAGGGTGGACGTTTCGATTATATTCTACTATTTTTATCTTATGTACTTTTTCTTATTTTACTAATAAATCAGCTACTGAATTTGGGTTGTTTATACTTAAGTTTAAAGCTGTAAAACTAGGCCAAAATAAGATTTAAATTGATCGTTCTTTAGATAAAGATGCGCTAAAGTGAAACTGTGTAATTTGAATTAATTAATTGAGGAATTCCGTGAAAAAAAAATGGCTTAAAAATTGATTTTTGTGGTAGAAACGAGGTTAAAATTAATTAATTAATTAATATTAATTTTGTAAATGCTGAAATTCATCCTCGTTACTTGTTGATGGGTACTCAAAATAGAGTTGCCATGTTTCAAGTATGGAATTCTTATTAAAGAATATATCTTAAAGATTTTTCTCTATTAATAAATCTACTACTAAAGTTTGGTTGTTTGCAGCTTTAATATTAAGCCAAAATAAGATTTAAATAATGATTTTAGTCCGTTTATTACATAATTATTGCGAGTCGAAATGTCTTAGAAGTTCCTCTGAAAATACTGAGTAGCCTCGAAAATCATGTAAAGTAATATCCAAAGCGCCAAAAACACCACAGCGATGAGTTTTGGTACTAATTTCTTTTTTTAAAGGAATGTCTTCCATAAAATAACATCACAATACCAGATATTAGTTCATTTGGCTGTTAAATATCTCTGTAGACAGCATTGAATAGAACACTTTAATTACGATCACCCGGCATTAAATAGTCACATTACACTAGTTTAATTATTAATAAAATTAATTAAATGATATTAATTTTGATAGAATTTATTAAATGTTGTAAAATTTAATACTCATCTTTAACATAATTTATCACGTTGAAGGGGATTTAAAGCAGAAATGCTCCTGTTTTCTTTATTTGATTTGCTTATTCTTCTCCAAATATATAATTAAATAAAGAATTATTATTACTTTTTAATTTACTAAAAATTCCAGCAACGAGTTGCGCAACTTTCCCGGCAAAAAAGTTAAAGTTGTATTTTACAAGATTTTTATTTCAAAACTTTTTATATTATTAAATAGCAAAAAAGTTAAATTTTGAGGGTAGAAATGGGTTTTAAAACAATTTATAAATGCTAATAACGAGTAAAACCTTTATTAAGACCTACCCCAGTCGATATACGACACGTGTCCCCCCTGTATCATTCCATTCACTATAATCACCAAAATTTACTGGTATCAATCCCTCTAATAAACAAATCTCCCTGCAAAATTTCAGAAATTTTCGGCAAAAGGCACACGAGTTATTAAGCTTTAAATTGGGTAAAAGAAAATCGTGCGCTCATACACACTAACATCCATACAAACACCAAATTGGAAATATCGTAATTTTAAAGAAAAATTCCATTCATAATTTATGCTAAAATAGCTCATAAATTTTCTTACAGCTTAACTTTATCACATATATTATTTTAAACGAAATTATCTTTATGCGTATGTATATATCTTACTACTAATATGATGAGAAAATATGCATTTTAGTAATGAATTTCTACAATTTTCTTGTTTCTTCCGACTAAATTAATCAGAAGAATTTATATAAATTTGAATTCAGAAACGATTAATATATCTTCTGATGGAATTTTTATGTTAAAGTATATAAACGTAAACACTGGCGAGTTAAATATATCGAACGAGTTGTCATATTTCTTGTTTTCTGTATGTAAATTAACAAACAGTAATGTGATTAATGGTTGGAATTAGTAAATTTACATAATGCCAAGGGGATATTAAAATTAATCGATGTTTAAAAAATATAAATGAATCTGCTGATAGCTTAGACTACAGCAATGAATGCCCACCAGTTGCCGAATAGATAAAACCACTAAAAGTTTGTAATTGGTCGTGGGTTCACGCCTTATTACGTCGAGTTTTCTGGATTTCTTTCGCACATCTAACAACTAAATAGGGGCCAGTTTCCTATAGAAAGTCCTCCCGATTGGCATATCGCGGACATGTCATTTTGCAGTGTACAAACATATAAAAAGAACACAAGACGTGTTGGAGTTGTTGATGATAAAATGATATTTAGCATAGAATTTTTTTTGTAAGAATTGAGAAAATAATTCATTATTTTAAAACATAATCGAATTCGTATAATAAATAATCATTTTTTCCACAACAAGATTAACTGGAATGACACGGAAATCGAATTTTGGCTCAGATGATGAATCTTTGATCAAACGGAGCCAAATTCGATTTCCGTGCCAAAGTGACTTTCGCTCTCTTCCTTTTTTTTTCTTGCTTAATTATTTAATCTTTAAAATATATACATATTAAAGGAAATATTAATAAGTTAAACATATACAGGGTGGCCTAAAAGTCAGTCAACGATCTGCATTCCTTTGTGTGACCAATTTTTGCATTTGTATCTGGGTCTTTTTTCGCTTTCTAACGCCTAAAATTTGTAATTTCTATAGTAGTTGTTAGAATTTATGAATTTTTTATTATGCCCACTCAATTTTTGCCATTTAGTATTGTTTGAAATATAAAAAACGGGTGAAATTTCACCTAAGGTCACTGGTTGTTGTACTCAACTTTGATGAGCGTGATTTACCCTTCATCGCCATAATGCATTTTGATGCTTTTTTTTGTTGGTTTAACAGCATATTATAAATCAAACGAAAAGCAGGGATGTAAGCTAAATATATGTAGTTTATACACATAATCATTAAAAGAAGAAATTTCAAAAAAGAAAATGTTAAAACGAAAGATGGCCTATACTTAAATATGAGGAGAGTTTTTGAATTTTATAAAATCTGCTAAATTTTATTAGTTTTTTAAATATAAAAGAAAAAATTAATTTGAAGAGAACAGTTCAAATTTCTAAAAGGTCAACAATTCAGAGAAATTTGAACCTCTGCGTTCAAATTTCTCTCAATTGTTTAACTTTATTTAGGTTAAAATTTTCAAAATGTTACGTGTAAAGGATCTAAATAAAGTTTTTTAAACAAAATGTCTGTATTACGGATATTTGGAGAAAAAAGAATTGTTTTTTTTTCCAAAATATAAGAATTTATTTCCGTTTCTTTCCGTGTCGTCGAAATTCGACGACAAGGAAAAGACCAACGAGATAGAACAGAAAATAATAGAAACAACGATAAAGAGAAACGGACAAAACGAAAAGAAAAAGAAAAAAAAACAACCGTGAATTACGTACTGTAATGGATTGAGGTTATCTTTATAGATAATTAATTAAAGTAATATAT